GATGGCCCGCCTCTGCTCCATGTCAAGGTCAAGCTCCGGGTCAAGGTGTTGTTATGAGACCCAAGTAGCTTTCACGCACTAGCCTCAGTATGAAAGCAGGTACAGTAGTGGGTTGCATACACAGAGTTTGACAACCATGCAGCTGGCCCACAGTAGAACTCACACATTTCTCACACTAACATAAACACTGCCACTCACACTGTGCTTAGAGAGGAGAGGGCAGGAGGATGAATCATAGGGGAAAAGCTCAGAGATTAGTTAGCGATCAAAAAGACTAGGAGCTGAGAGATAGAATCCCATCCAGTTCTTACTGTTGTTGCACAAACCTGTTTTTTGAACTTGCATGAACATAATGCGCTGTTTTATGTACATAGTTTCTTTTTTACTGTAGGGCTTTTTAAATGATTGATGAATATGTTAGCAAGTCCCACCGGTAACCCTTTTGCAGCATGTGCTGCTCTTTTTAATGCAAGAATGCCTGCATACTTGTGTCTGTGTGTGAATATGTCAAAACAACCTTCGCATTAGGAACAGCTCCTGCAGATTCTACCCGTATCATTAGTACGCTGGCACACCTTGGCTGGACCCAACTCACCACCATTCCACACAGAGCCTTCCATCATTCCTTACCGGATTAGAGACAGAAAAACATAAAGGGAGGGAGAGAGTTGGAGGGGAGGACTGCTCTTTTACGTTCTGGAGCTGGCATAGTTTTAACTGTAATTTCTGCTGAAATAATAGAAGTCTTGAAATTGCTACTATGTTCTCCTTCTCTCTCTTTGCCTGTGCTTATTTCAACCTGATCTCAATTTGAAAAGACGCAAACAGCCGGAGTAGGCAAGCGAAGTGGTGTTTGAGCAAGAGGAAAGTTCAGAAAAAGCACATGTGAGGCATACACGCTGTCCGACTCACTTACAGATGCACGCTGCCTCTCCATGGGACTTTAATGAGTTTGATACATGAGATATATTTTTTTCAACAACAGTCAACTCCACCTAGTGGTGTTTGTACTGAACAGATTTCTGGCTGCAGTGAGGAATGGACTGTTATGAAGGAAACAGTACACCAGCAATTGTTTATCTGCACTGAGTCACTTTGCCCTGAGATTGCCGGGGAAGGGAGGATCGATACTAAGGTTGTGGATACGACTCCCACAAAAGCTACAAACTCCGCAGACGCCTCTGAGATCTGGCCAAGCGCCTTTGTGGCACAAGCCGCCCATTGCTAGAGAGACTGTGTTAGTGGGTCTGCTCTGCACCTCTTGGCCTGGCATCTGTGGGGCTTGCTCACACTTGCTTTCACCCAGCATGTGTTTGCTCAGATGAAGGAAATTATGTAATTAGCCTGTGAGGGATTGTTTTCTTTTACTCTTTACCCCCCTCTCTCCCACTCCCTGCATTTACCCTTGTCTCTCTCTTTCCCTCCATCTTTTTTTTTGTGCACTCACCCTGTCTCTCAGTCCTGTGACAGCAGGAGATGGTTCCAATTTAACCCAAGCCACACCCTGGCTCTCCTCCTCCGTTAATTGCCAGAGACCATCAGTGGAAGAAAATGAACACTTGTCACACAGATCCATCTAAGCTGTTGAAGAGCAGCTTTGTTAAACATCAAAGCGAGAGAGAGATGTAATAGGGAGTGGACGCAGAAGCTTTGGATGTGTGGGGGACTGTGTCTGGCTGAGTTAGACTGGGATGTGTGCTGGGAGATGGGTTCAGGGGTACACACAGGCAGTATCGGGGGAGGGAAACCTGGCATTTTGCTCTCTAATTCCAGCCGGCCTGGAGGCCTGGAGCGCTAAGAAGGGCCTCACTGTTGCTCTCTGCATCAGCCAGGTATTGCTTACATAAAAAGCAAGTGAAAACAGCTGTAGGGATAATTAGCTTGATTCTCCATTACATGCCATGAGGGCCAATAACTAAAAAATGGAGTTTTGTTTGGGTTAGAGCTGCAGCCCAACCAGGAGGAAGTTGTAAAAGTCAGGCAGAGAAAAGAAAGAAAGAAAGAAAGAAGGGGGGGGGTCGAGGGAAGAAGGAGCAAGCAAGCTCTTGAAGCAATTGTTGAGAGGAGATACTTTCTCTTCCTGACCACATTTGAAAAGGGTACGGTTCTAGGATGATGGGATGGCCATGTGATCTCAATCTTTTGCTTTATTTTTTCCTCCTTTTTTAGTGCTTTTGGTTCACAGTATTGTGTGACATCAGATTGGTGCTTTCAGACTCCCCCACTTTACAGTTTCACTTTTTGCACCTTAAGCATTTCCTGGGATCGGACCTTTCTTTTTCTTTGTTTGTTTTTACCATCATGGAGCATATCTAGTCACCACTAGTGCAAGGCTCTGATATATGATAAGAGATTTCCTGGCAGCAGTTTCAAGACATGAATGATCACATACTATGTCAGGATTTACAGATTTCGTCATGACTATTAAGACAGGAAGAAAATCCCCACCCACTATGCTTGTATTTCACCCTAAATAGCTTCATCATCATACAACCAACTGACTTGCTTTATGTCTCCCCTCTCTGTAGACTGAGCTGGGGGGGGGGGGTCTTTGTACTGGTAATTGAATTTAGTGTGTTTCTCTTTTTTCTCAGGAGTGATAGGACACCAACCACAGGGGTAATTCCAAGTGAAAGAGCAGCACTCTAACACTGGTGGTCCAAACCTCTGCAAGGATCCATTTAACAACAAGTTTATATAAGTAGCACTTAAAGACAAGAAGGAGTTCAGCCGCTTGCATTCAGACTCTGGGATTCATATCCAATCCTCATGACGGACTAGTAGATAACAAAGCAGAATATCCACCTCCTGAATCATTTCTACACAATGTTTCTATAAAAACAGGCGGTGTATTTAGTCATTCATTCATTTATTTATTTACTTACCTCCTTAACCTGAAATAAACATCAGATGTTGCTAATTTTGGTACTAATCATTTACACACACGTACCCATCATCAAGGAAGCCAGGAGTGGAGGGGTGGGGATGAGAGTTACATGGGGATAAGGAATGGCTGTTTGGCGTTTGAGACCTTTCCAGTTAAACGTATAAAGCAAATTCATGTTTAGTATTAGTACTTTCATTTTTTTCCTCCTAGTAATGATGGCAGGGAATCGGATGTGTTGGCTGAGTTGTTAACGTTTGGTTATCAGTAGTTGCTCTTTGAAGATTCGGGTCAGTGTTTGCATATTATTCTGCAGTTTATCACATTCCAACACTTTTACCGTTTTCATTTTGCCAGACCGTTACACAAAACCATTTTCTCTTCCTCCACATGTCTTTGCCACTTTCTGGCAAACATAAAATTCTCAGCTCATCCTGCTTTTTTTCCTTTTTTTGCATTACTGCATAAGGAAATATCTGCAAGTTGTTTCTGTTACACATCATTCAAGCAATGGAAGAACATCTGCTGGAACAAGTAATTTAAGGGGCATATAAAGAGCAACTATAGACTCGGTGACAGTTACTACCTCACTAAGCTGAAATGCAGTGAACACGCAGGTGACTTTTCTTTGGGTGGATTTAGCTGTAAAAAAAGAAACTTTGTCCTTTTGGCACAAAAGGCTTTAAGCGCCCTGTCAGAGCCATCTGAGCTCACTCAATTATCCCACGCGTGGTCGTGGCTGACACAATATGCTTTGCTTTATCACATTCATAAAGCTGCAAAAAAAAGAAATGAAGAAGTCGTGACCACAAAGGCAACACTTCAAATAAGGAACAAAAAGTTTCGTATGATTTTAACACTCTGTCACAACATGCTGACATGTTAAATAATCACAGGTCGATAAGCATACACACATTCATGACCACATAGCAACACACTTCCTCATTAACGGCATGAACGCAGGCGTCGCATGTGAGTTTGTGTAGTGAATGCGTCTGTTGTCTGGTGGTAGTGAGGTGCTGACAGAGAAGAAAGAGGAGCAGTCTTCAAACACATCCACGGGCAGGTCGTGCGCTCCGTTATGCCCTGCCGGGGGCCATATTTGTTGATTCTTGGGCCTCCAAATCATTAATTTAAGTGCAAAGAAACCTGAGAATGGCCTCGAACCCACCTAGGCAAATTCTCACATACACACACACATGCACATATTTATTTGGTAAAACTTACATCCAAGAACAGCTACGTGTACACATGCTCACATACACACCCTGCATTGCATAACAAATGATTTCACTTTAATTGCTATTCCTGTTTATTTACTTCTGCCTGTAATGGATGGTCCTTTTTTTTTTTTGCTGAGCAGCCAATCACAGTGAAGCAGAAAAAGTGTGAGCTGCCCAGCAAATCTGGAACAATTACTTGTAATTTGACATTTCTCTTCATACGCAGCATACACCAACCCAGGATGCGACAGTTAATTACCATTAATTGCAACTTATATGTTTTGGGATCTTTATGTATTTACCTGTGCATATGTCTAAGTTTGTCTTGAAGTTCCTTCACTATGCCTCCCTGATGACTGATGATAATGTCTTCAGTGATTGGTAGTTATTTTCGGGCCTGTTTGCTCAGCCAATGAGGCGCCCCCAGCGTACCAGACATACATCATTGTTTCACAGCCCTCAGGAAAGAAGTGAGTTGTTACTGACTGCTGTGCGGCCTGAGTAACAGACACATTCCAATAGGGGTTTTTCTTTTTATTAATGAGCACTTGATGTTTGAGTTGCTGCCAGCTGCATTTAGGGAATTCTTAAGGAGCTCTGGAGACTTGCCAGACAGTTACAGGAAGAAAATGGTCAAGCTATAGCGTAAAAATCACGAAATGTCCACACTGGACTCTATTGTCTGCGGTCTGTTTGTCCAGCAACGTGATGTAACCTCTTTAGAGATCACCGTGGAAATTAAAAACAACCTAACGTCACCGACTAAAAATGCATTTTCACACACCTATGTGACACAGAGAGTTTAGCTTTTGTTTGTTTTGTTTGTTTTGTTTGTTGTATTCTTTGCATTTTACATGTTTTACTCACTTTGTTCTCAATGTTTCTTCTCACAGCTCGTGGAATCAGATACCAGGCATCAGCTACAAGAACACAGATACACCGGCTCATATATCCTTCACCATTGAGACCACCAGACCTGATTAAACACAGATATAAATGCACACTCAAGCACCCACCATTGCACTTGGATTCTGGTGAAGTTTTCAGATGGGCAGAAATGAGTTATTCTAGCAACTGGTATGCAGTGGCCCACAGAAGACCTGGGAACACTGTGTGTGCACCTCATCAGAACATCTGGCATCAGTGTGGCAAGCGGTCCACTGCCTTCATTTCTCCAGCTTTCTTCAGTTGGAAGCTGGATTTATTTTACAGTACCGTGGTGCTACAGAGTCCTGGCTTCTCATCAACCGTCCCCCAAACAACTGTTGACTATGAGTGCGGCCGAGCTGAGCCAGAGGAACTCATGCCAGCTCTAGACTCTTTTGTGGTAGCACGAAAAGTATTCACGTTTGCAGCTAAATATCAGACTTGTGTAAATATGACAACACGGACCTTGTAATCCATAATCCACAGAGACCTTCTCAATGTATTGTGCCAAAGGAGATATCTGCTGAGATACATCACTGAAATGACACTGCAACTGAGTGCTTTGTAAAACCACCCTTGCCCATCTCCCATTTCCTGCAGAGAGATCACCACAAAATGTTTGATGATTAGCTTCCTTCTTTTCCAAGAATAGGGTCCTTAGTTAACTGGGAGGAAAACACAGCTGACCTCAAAGCAGCCAACTTATTATAAGAAAAGTCTGCATACATTTCTCCTTGTGTTCGCCTTGCCTCCCCTTTATTGTTTAATGAACCACTTTCATGTTCTGTTTGATTTTCTACAGCTGAAACTATTTGAGTGCCACTTTTCTTCTTTTTTAAATATCACAGGTTCATGTGACTTATTGTTCTGATTTCAACGAGTGGTGTATTATGTTACTGTCTACTGATCTGTGAATCTGAGTGACTAATCTGATTATAATCAAGTGTCTTGCATTAATACTTTTTTTCACTGTACTGGAGCTTGACCTGATGTGATGACAATGTACAATTGCAGTTTAATTTAGCAGCATAGTGGTGTTTTCATTTGGTTGTTACCTAATATGTACAGTTTTTGTAGTGTGTGTGTGCGTGCGCGTGTGTGTGGTTTTGTGCTACACTGTCTTCGTTGTGATGATATGAACGTTTGGGGGTAACAGCAGTCGCCCTTGACTTCTTCCACAGTGGTTTGCAGTGATCAGCCTGTTTCTGTTGTTTGAATAAAATATTGGTTTCACAAGAACTGTGCAAACTGTGCGTGCTTCATCAGGGAGACCGCAGCGTGAGCACTGATGCTGGGGTTGCTGATAAATGTGAGTGCAACGACGAGTATTTTTCACAAGTTTAAAGTTGCCCCCCCCCCCCCACTAATGGCATCTACAACAATAGTTTCTTGCACTGCCCAAGAAAGATTTTTTTTTCCTTTTTTTCGGTTTTCATGGTCGACCAATTCTCTCTCTCTCTCTCTCCCTCATAAACTCAGCCAGATGTTGCCCTTTTTTATCCTAGGGGGACTTGTGGGGAGGTAGGGGTAGTGAGGCATGGTGGTGCTGGGTAGTGGTGGGGGTGGCTAAGGATGTTTTAAAGTGTTCTCTGACACAGTCAGAAGTCTCCAGCATTCAACATGGTAACGCTGTGAGCCAAAATGCCCAGGACTCAATGCTGTCACAGCTATGACGACACAACACTATTACAGTCCTACACTGTGTGAAAACAGCCAAAAACCTGTCTGGCAAAGATAAGCATTGTTAATATTAAGTCTCAATATATAATAAGATTCAGCTTTCAGTTACACAGTGTGTGGTGTTAAAACTTGATGGCTACTGTTAGATCATACGTGGTGACTATGGGACTGGAATCTGTAAGGCAGCTCTCACTGGTCCAAACAGGGCAACAGCTCTGAAGTCCATCACTGCAAGAAAGGACTCAGACGGTTCAAACACACAACCTTCATCTACCAGGGAACAGTGGTAACCACTGCACCACCACGTATAAAACATGTAAAAATATAGCTTTGCATCATACTAACTAGCTCATTTGAAAGAAAATACAGCTTACACTTGGATTTTGTCCAAGTGCTGTAAAGAACGTCACAAAAAAAGTTAGCTGGGAGCCAAATCAGGCATTTTCCATCACATAATGTAAAGGAAAGGCAGCAGACCTGCGAGATTGATGGCACTTAATTAAGGCAACTACATCAGTGTAATCATCTCCCCTATCAGTTAAAAGCAAGTCTTTATTTTGGTCCACAGCCAGATGTACAGGTGACTGTCTCCTTGCATTAATTTTAGCATTGTTTCTTTCACTGACTGTTATCCTCTCTCTGTTTCCTCAAACCAGGTTCTGTCCATCGCAATTGAAAACTACACGTCTTTCACCCTTGAATGGCCTCATTGTGTACATACTGAGTAATCTACAGTGTGACACATTAAAAGGATTGAACACTTTACCCTCAGACTGTACTCCGTGAAAAATATCGAACTATAAGCTGACAGATTCCTGCAGCATGTTTTGAGATAGCGTACCATAAAATAATAATTATTATGCCTGGGAGCTATTTCTAATGACTGTAATGCTCACGGGCACTTAGGTGATGAGAGCAGCCTGTATAAGCACATGATATGGACCTGCTTGTCTTGATTTTACTGAGTGGTAACTCGATCTGCTGCCAGTGAAAATCCAAACGCTGCTCTGGTATGGATAGGGTAATAGCCTCGGGTGCTTTATAAGTTTGTTTTAGGTAATAGAGACGCTTGTTTTGTAACAGCCTGTTCCGCCCTTCTCTCTCTCTCTCTCTCTCTCTCTCTCTCCTCAATTCCAACTACGTTGAAATTCCTTGGTTGTTGAAAGTTGGTGACTGGAGGAAGAAAAGAGGGATTTGAGGAGAAATGTGAAGCGCATGCGCCATGTGAAGGTTTTGCTCCGCGCATCAATGCAGCAATGTGCTAGTTTGAGAGAGGAGGCGACCGGGGAGCAGGTGAGAGAGAGACAGAACGAGAGAGGGGAGAAGAGAAAAGAGGGAGGGATAGTTTTTTGCACTTCAACACAGACGGTGTGGGAGGACGACGCGCTTGGAGCTTCAGAAAAGCCGCTGTCGTTCACACGCTGTGCTCTTTTCCTCCCCCTGGCACCGTGCGCGCTCGCCAAGCCGCACTGTTTGGAGATAGTCCGCGCGGAAAGTTTTTGGAGCATAAAGTCTGGAGCCGATCAATTAATGTTTTTATTTATTTTTTTCGGTGAGGCGGATGAATGACTTGCTTTTTTGAGAGTGGAGACTTTTAATTCGAGTTGGGGAATTGTCTTGAGTCGTTTTTGTTTTTTTGCGCAGAATGGAAGGTAAATTGACAAGTCGTTTGTGGCGAGGATCACCGTGTGGATCTTTCCGCAGGTAAAACGCGCCGTGGCGTGAGCGTGTGATCTGCTGGAATTAATTGTCTTAACATTTTTACACGTCTTTTTCTTCTTCTTCTTCTTGTGGTGTAGTTTAGCTGGATTCTGGGACAGTTTTCCACTTGGACAGGCAAGTTTCATGCTGCTTTTAATTAGAAGCGAATCAACAGTTAGGTTTCCGCCAGTGGCGCTTTGGGTTGCCGTAGGTGGTTGTATTTGTTAATAGGTACCGCAAAGTCACGCACTGAATCGTGAAAGGAAAGGACTATTTCCACACACTGTCACTAGATACTTTATCCATCCCGCTGCTTACTACCAGACTTTAAGCTGTTAAGCGCACGGAGCGCTTGCACTGATTTTTTTTTTTCGAGGTGTGCGTCAAACACTAAACCTGAAGAACTCTCAGCTTTGACTCCCTGAGTTGCACTTTGTTCATCCCAACCAGGCATTTTCCAAGAGATTCCGGGGAAAACGAAAAAAAGAAACTCCGGTACTTGCCTTGAGTGCAGCGGAAAAGGAAATCTTAAATCACCTGGCCTGCACTGTGATTATTGGTTTGATATCGTCTGCAGAGAGTGGATTACGGCTTCTAACGGGCTGTGCTCCCCGGTGAGTAGTCTATACGTCTCCTAGTTGACTCAGTTTTCCACCCCAGCCACAGTTTATCTTAAAGAGTGGAAAATTTGTGTTTCAGTGGGATGTTTTTGAACTTATACAGGCTCTGGATGTGGACAAAAGTGCTTGACAGATGTGATGTGTGAAACATGCGCCCACCCCCCATTCCTATGGCCTGACAGCCGTTTGGCACTTCGCTATTGTGCAAACATTACATAAAAAGCACAGTATTTGTTAGAAATGCATATGATTTCTGCTTAAAAGCTTTTTAACGAACAGTGTTCTATTGTTAAGTGAACAGGCAGTGTTCTCTGCTGCTCTCAACTCCTTGTACCTGGCTCCCTCTCCTGGTTTTGTGTAAACATCGGGGCAGACAGGGAAAAAACGCTCATCATTTTGTCCCGTTAGATACACACAATATTTCAGTCATTAATGAGTGTTTATATGTTTAAAATAGATGCATTTCTTTTTTTACCTCATACATTTTTCTTTCTCATTCTCCACCAGCCCGCGCATCCACACAAAGAAGCCTAGTGTAACTCGTTTTATTCACAGTCAGCATCTGTCGACTTTAAGATGCAGGTCTGACTGTAAATATGTTGTTCTTTTGTTTTTTTAAATAGACCGGGCCTTAAATTAAGCATAATACAACTTGACTTTGAGCACACACTGGCTTTCCTTCACATTTTTCACCGTTTATTGTTGCTGAAACTTTTAAAACACAATGAATCCGTTTAATGATATTTTAAATAGTTTTTCCAAGCGTTTTAACAACACGAGACCAGAACGGGGGTAATATCTAGGCCCGGGTTTGAGGTATTCCCAGCTCTAGTCCTAAAAGGCAGACTTTTTTTCTGCCCCTCCTATGCGTGCTCTCTCGGTTTTAGTGCCATATGGCTCTTTGAAATACCCCCGAAATTAACCTTGACTGAAGTACTGCCTGCTGCTTTATCATTCTAGCTGAAATTTGTTCATTTAGCTAGATACCACTTTGACTGACAAAACTCTGCAGTATAGCCATCAGTCATCCGGTCACGTCCTATGAATACCTCGCTCGGGTCAGATCGTTTCCAAGGGTCACTGAACGCAGGATTTGCTTAGCTTATAAAAAAAAAATCATATTCACATTAATAAAGTTAGTTTGTGCCGTCGATGAAAACAAAATGTAAGATTTATACTCTTCTTTGTTCTGAGTGGATGAACTCAGATGTGAATTGTCAGATCAATGCGCGCACCTACCGTGTAGCTCCGTGACTCAATCTGCCAAATGAACCCTGTGAGTCACCACCGCTGTTCAGCTGCTCCTAGCAAACTGTTTTGCCAAAAATAATATTTAATTGATTATCAATAAATTACAAACGTGTTTTAAAATATTTAAAAAAAATCCACTTCCTTTCAGGCACAACTGCTCCAATTAGTGGTTTAAAATCAGTGTAAAACCGCCGCCCTCTGTGGATTATTGCTTTTAATTTATGTGGAGGAACTGCGAAGAACATAACTTCACCAACTATTACGAGGCAGCACGCAAACCAAAAGCACGTGTTCGTGTGTGTGGTGTGCGCGAGTGTGCGCGCGCGCCGGGTGAGTGATGGTGAACTTGGCCTTGTTTTTAATGAGTCTTAGGCAGGCCCGGGTCTCCACGACTCAACCCTGGAAAATAATGCAGCGTGACAAATTAGACTTGCTCTCGATCCCAAGAACTCACACACGAACAAGATGGAAGGCTGGCACATCGCTTTAACTCGCAAATTTAGGAGTAATTATTTGACCTAATTTTCTGCCAAAATGGCAACAAAGCTGTGCTGTTGTGCGCAGATAATTCACGTTTTCTTTCTTTTCTGTCTTTTAAAATTCTGTGCGGTTTTCTTTGCGCAAAAGCTGCGAAGTATCCGGTCATCACCCCCCCGCCACCCGGCTGCTGTCAGATCCATTTTCAATTAATAAGTAGAAAAAATGAATCTTAATATAGGCTAAATACATAAGGAGATGTCCATTAGGCCTCTGTCAGATTACACGTTTAATCGCCACTTTTCGTAGTTACGAGAAATAGACTTTACTTTTTAATTGTTCCATCTTTTTAAAAACAAAACCCGCGTTTTTTCTTATAATTAATTTAATTACCCACGATTAAAAAAAACCGAATTAAAATTATTTGCTTTAGAAACAGTTTCATTATAGTTTTTCAAATAAACAAAACATTCTTAGCAAAAGAAAATACAGGCGGGTCTCCCAGAAATGTAAATAAAAGCGGAACTTGGAGCTACAGTTCTGTTTTATTTTTATTGGCTTAAAAAAACAACCCCGGTCCTTTTCGTTGAAATGCGCTAATATTTGTTAAAAATAAGTTTAAATTAAATTGTCTAACTAGCACTTCTCAGTCTCTCTGTGCCTTAAAGTGAAATGTCTGGAATGTGTCTTGCGGGGTTTCATAGTCATCGTGTCTTCTCTGGCTGTGTGTCGGTCTCGTGTGATTCACACTCTGATATGTTGCCAAATGACTGCTCTGCTGTGCAAGCAGTGATGGCTACAGGGATTTCATCACACACGCGCATGTAAATGTGATGTAAAATATACAGCAACCCAGCTGAAAGAACATTTTCTCTGCCCTTTTCTTTCCATAATATGCCCCAAAGTTGTGCATGAGAAACAAACATCTAGTCAAGCAGGCAGACTGACAAGTATCGTGTTCTCTGTTCTCCTTCAGATCACTGGCAGTATGAACCTGGGGCTAGGCTGTGTGCGTCGGCCGATTTGCTGGCCCTTTGGCAGCGTGTTGGACTCCAGACACTGTGTCTTTGCCCTCACACTCCTCACTCTCCTCATGCAGGTGGTGGTGGAGGCCAACTCATGGTGGTATGCAATAATTTTCTTTCCATATGCCAGCAATTCTGTGAGTCTTAATTTGTTCAGTGTGCGCCTTTGAAGTGTGTTTACTTGTCATTCTTTCTCTTTTCTGTCATACGCTAATTTGTAAATAGGACAGCGGTGCCTAAAAAGACTCGGCAAAAAGTTACATATAGGTGATACCGGTTTTTTTGGGGGGGGTTTTTGTGTTTATTTGTTGAGGCCTGTATATGTGTGATCTATGTGTCATACTCTGTGTATACCATTAGGTTTGCAAGAAAACTTTCTCTCCCTTACTTTCTTTTGCCAAACCAAAATTATGAACATCGCAAAAAAACATAAAATGCTGTGGTTTCCGAGTCTGTGTCCAAATATTTGCAAATACGGTGTGTGTGTGTGTGTGTGTGTGTGTGTGTGTGTGTGTGTCCAGCTTCCGTTAAAAGGGAAGTCTATATTTTCAACACACCTAGCACTTCTGATAATCACAACACTTGACATCCAGTAGCTCTGTGTTTATACACTTGGTGAATATTTATTGTACCCAATCAGAGCTCTTGTTCAAGAACTTTGGACATTTAACCCAAAACATCTTAGAAAATATTTTTATTTTCCAGTGGAGCAAATCAGAGCAAATAGTGACATACTCTGCTGGTAGAGTTATAGAAAAATAACAATGTAAACAAATAATTGTAAAGACTTTATACAGATACAAACTAATTAAGCTAAGTAGGAAGCTACATTAAAGTTGAAACAGCTCAAATTAGTCCTGCAGCTGAGGACTCGCACATTACTACACAGCAGACCCTGGAAAGGACGCTCACACAGTGTGTGTCTGTCAGTTTCCTTTTCAAGAGGACGCACAGGTGTGAGTGATTTGGAGTGTTGGAGTTGTGAGCGCGCTCATTGCATGTTTGTGAGACAGCATCAGACTGCACTAGTGTGCATGATTTATTTTTCTTCTTCCCCCTTTCTACTGTGTGCCCATTTGTGTATATCGGTGTATGTTTCTGCGTATTCCCTCTGTGTTTCCTTGCCGCTGAGTTTCCTTAGTCTATCAGGTTACACTAGGGGCTAATTGTCTCTCTCTGGGGGCTCTGAGATGGGCCGCTCTAATTGTCCTGTGGCCTAGAACCAGATGCTCATACTGGTGTTTCCTCCTTCCTCGCTCTCTCGCTCTGTTTTTGTGTTTCTCTTCCACAAAATTGAACGGAACAATTATTTTAGCTGAAATGATCTGGTGCTATAAGAAGTTACACGACTGCTGAATTTTACTCTTGCTCGGGTGAGCTGACATGAGGAAATGCACTTGAGAAAACCTATGAGAATTAATCATATCTGTGTTTTTATATATTTTTGTGTAGTAAGCTACACATTTCTTTTAAAACACACCGGCCTTTACATAACTTAAAGTTAAGATGGAAAAAAAATGCACATTTTGAAACACACATGGAAATCCTTATATAATTCAGTTTGGGGGAAAAAAATGTCCTGTTTTAAAATAAATGAATTTGTATACCTTCATTGGACAAGTAACATCAAAAATAGGTGCAAAAAGCACAAACTATACAACAACATTGTGGAATGATATCAGAAGTTGTGAGATTATGTTTTTTAAATCAATATAAAAATACTAAGGTGACTAAAAATGTCCAAGGGTCATTTAAAATATGTACATGTTATTGTTGTCGTCTTGTTTTTTCTTTAAGTCCTGCGGGTAGCATTTGATTGTGAGAGGAAGGCTGTTCCAGTTCACTGGAGCTCCCGCCACAAAAATCTCCCACTAACCTCGATCATGGAGCAGTTAAACGCAGTTGCCCAGAGGATTTCAGAGACCTAGCAGCACAGGGGCAGAGAACTTCTTAAATACACCCGGGAGCCAACGATGCGTGGCTTTATAGGCACATAAAGAACCTTAAACTCATTCCAAATTCACAGTTTTAGCCAGCGTAGGCAATCTAGTAGCATCAACTCTTTCCTTATAACAGCTTTGTCTCTTTTATTAATTAAAAAAATATAAAGAACTGTAAAAAAAAAAAAAAAATTGTTCAACTCAAAAGTGATTACAGTGGTCGCCGCAGTCAGCCACTGGTGATACGGGAGCGTGAGCTTCCGTTTGTCGGACAACAGTGGTGTGTTTTTAAAACGTAGCCCTTTATTTCCTTCATGCATCTGTGTTTTACTTGCGTTTTCTTTCTTTTCCTTTATCTTTATCTCCTGACTGCTCTTCCTCTCGTCTAAGCTTCACTCGCTGTATATTCTTGGCTCTAAATGACTTTCACATCGACTGTCCTCTGACATTAAGAGTGTACAGGGTTTTACTCCACCCAGGAACTAACTGCACCTCCATTTCACTGATTAACATAGTTCCATCATCAATGGAGAGAACCCAATCAAGTGAAATCAGCTGCTGATTGCAGTGTTGGCCCAACAACGTGGATGCATTTGTTTTAATGACACATGACTGAAAACACTGCACTGTGTGTCGCCTTCACGCAGGTCTCTGGCCATGAACCCTTTACTAATCCCAGAGGCCTACATCATCGGCGCCCAGCCTCTGTGCAGCCAGCTGGTGGGCCTGTCGCAGGGCCAGAAGAAACTGTGCCAGCTCTACCAGGACCACATGCAGTACATCGGTGAAGGTGCCAAGACGGGCATCAGAGAGTGCCAGTACCAGTTCAGACATCGGCGCTGGAACTGCAGCACAGTGGACAACTCCTCCGTTTTTGGACGGGTCATGCAAATAGGTAAGAGACAAAGGCTGTATGACGTGCCGTATATTCTAAGAAACGCGTACACAAAGACACAGGAAACTAACAAAGATAACGCTTCATAACTGTACTCACCAGCATGTTGATATGCACATTTCCTGTATGTACCAGATATAACAGGGTTACTTAGATTTTTATATTTTATGTCTTTTTCTTTTCTTCTTTCTGAGTCACTGACCCTTTTTTATGTTTGTGAAAAGTGTGTGAAATGCATGAGGCTGCTGATGCTCAGCAGCTGTGTGGAGGGAATAGTTGGTGGGTGAGGTTGCTCGATAAATCACGTGTGGCTTTGGCCTGCTAAACCAGCCCCCTGATATGGAGCAGGAGGGAGTCGGAGAATCTGCTTTCCCCCCCTGATGAATGGGAGACAGTCTAATACACAAAGACGCACATACACACGCAGACACACAAACTCTGGACTGTAGCTGACTCTGTGTATTTACAAGTAAGGGGAGTGCTACGAGTATATGGAGCGATATATCACCACGTCAGAGATTACATTGTCTGTTTGTCTCTTATAGAAAGTTCAAGAGCTCTCCAGTCCCTAAAATCAAGTCCTGTTCTTGGGTCCTATCATTAAACACACATTGTTCCAGTTTTATTGGATGTTGGAGCAGCTTAGGATGCTAAATCTAAACGGGTCAGATCTTCCAGTTTTGGCCATTTTTCAAATTTATTTTTAGTTTGTCTTTAGTGTTTAGTTCAGCCAAATTAAACCAGTTGCAGACACTGGATGTGTGTTGTCCCACTAAGGAAATGTAATGAAATAAATTTAATTTTAAATGTAATGTTACCTTTTCTCTGGATTATCTACAGGACACATGGTCAGGAGTTTCTGTGGTGACTGTTTTTTCAGAGAAGCGTTCCTCTTACTGTGTTTGCAGATGACTTTTCTAACGGGGACATTTTAAGGAAAAGAGCTGAAACGGTTTGAATGGACATGTATGTCGCACCATTTCACTCGTGTTGCTCGACCATTTAACGCGCTGTACTTCTGTGTGTAGCTTTTGACTCTGTTCTCGGTGATTCTGCCTGGCGTGTCTCTGGTCCTTACTCCCTTTCCACAAATGATTCTTCACAAGCAGCCGTTCTCCTCCCATTCCTCTTCTCCCTCCCACTTCCTCCCCAACAGTGATCCCATCTCAGTCCACCTTGGGCCATGTAAACATGTCCTCCCCTCTATAGCTGTCCATATGAAAGCCTGTCTTACTGTCTGCTGGCTTAGGACACTGCTGGTGATTTAAAGCATAGCTCCAGGGGGTGCCGGCGTGGCTGGGTTCAGACTCTTTCCCTTGCATGGCTTGGCTAGCTCGAGGGTGGGGGACATTAGAAGGGCGGCAGCAGTGTGGGAGACGACAGTTTGTCTGTCTGCAGGCCCACCGTTAGGCCAGTACTCTCAGGCTGGATTAAAAGTTGTACTAACCTAATAAACCCCCCACCACGCTCTCTGATCACTAATGCTTCCAGCAGTATTTCCCACCTGGATCTCTTTCAGCCTCTCCAGGAGGTTTCTTTATTCATCTTTTCCTCCTTTTTGGAATATTAAGTGTGTGTGTTTCTTTTCTTATATTGCTTGTTTTGTTTCTTTTCCGTCTCTTTCTTGACTTATCGTTTCACTCGCCTTCGTTTCCCTCATCTCACTCTGTCCATATGTTATTGTCATTATAGCATAGTCTCTAAAGGTTTGACCGAGCATTTATATGAGCTGTGCATTTTTATTGTGTAGCAGTCCTCGTCTTCAGTGTCAACACACGGCTTCATCGTTTGCTAGTCTGTTTCTTCTTTAGTTCTCTTGTGGCTTCGTACAGCGACAAAAACTGCTTATGTGCAATTTTCTGCCTTTTTTTTTTTCTTTAAATCTTCACTCTATAGAGGAAATGTTGAGGGTAGAAACAGTTGGAATTAATGTACAGCGGCTCCAGAGTCACTCAGTCGTGACAGATAAACTAAAAGAACCGTTGTCACGTTCAATTTGGGTGAAATGGAAGAGACTTGTTAAGAAGGATCTCTGTCACTGGAGGGCGCCGTCTTCTCTCTGGCTGAAGCCCAATAACAGCAAACCAGATTACACTGTTCAACATGTTGTTGATGACGACCCTGCAGCGCTTGGCTGAAGTGCTCTGTAATCTTAAGTGTATGGTGAATGCTGTCAAATGACATCACATCTCAAAGTGCCATACACACACACTTAAAGCAAACGATGGGGAGATCCACTGGCTACAGAAGACACGTGCATGCTTAACCTACAAAAATGAAAGCAGTGGATGGAGATCACTTTTCTTGTCTCATGGGTTGCAGTGTTTTTAAAATTGGGCAGCTTAAAACAAAATTTGGATCTCTACTCTTGTCTTGTTTCAAATGTCATGTGGTATTTGTATCTGCAGGCAGTCGAGAAACGGCATTCACGTATGCCATAAGTGCCGCCGGAGTGGTGAACGCCGTGAGCCGGGCCTGCAGAGAGGGTGAGCTTTCCAGCTGTGGGTGCAGTCGTGCTGCTCGCCCCAAAGATCTTCCCCGAGACTGGCTCTGGGGCGGCTGCGGAGACAACCTCAATTATGGCTACAGGTTCTCCAGGGAGTTTGTGGATGCCCGTGAGAGGGAGAAGAGCTTCCCCAAAGGCTCACACGAGAATGCACGGCTGTTGATGAATCTTCACAATAATGAGGCAGGACGGAGGGTAAGATGGCCGAGTCACATACACGTGCACGCACAAATCTGTTATTATTTTTTTAAAAACAAGCAGAGAGACGTGTATATACTTCACGCTTCAAAATTAGACCAACCAGAGCTTGAAAGGCTTTTTTTTTGTTTGTTTTTTAAGTGAGATAGTCCAGTCCAGGTCAATCAGACAGGTTTCCACTGATCATCTGTGTAACAGCTCCATCTGCTCCCCTGAGGCTTTGATCTATGAAAAGATGGAGTCACTGCAGACAGCTCTGGAGTTTCTTTTCCTTTTAAAACATCTTGAAACCACCTCAAAGGAATCGTAATGCCAGATTGGCAGGCTGTACTCTTTCAAGGAGGACAAACGAGTGGACATCACTGCACCCTGGAGCACCCTGCACTTTCTGTCCTTTTTAGCAAAGTGATGCCTCATGAGATCAAGAGCAGCACATTATTCAAATATTTATACAGGCAGGGTGAATTTACAGCACGAAGCATGTGATCAAGTTTCTTTTCTTTTTTCCGTTTTCTGAAGAAGAATAATTATGCAACCTGTTGTTTTTGTTTCTCTCTGATCTTCTTCTTCTCAAGATTGTGTCAGACCTTGCCCACGTGTCCTGCAAGTGCCACGGAGTATCAGGTTCCTGCAGCCTGAAGACCTGCTGGCTGCAGCTGGCCGACTTCCGCAAGGTGGGCGATGCACTGAAGGAGAAGTATGACAGTGCCGTAGCCATGAAACTCAACTCGAGAGGAAAGCTGGTGCAGATGCACAGTAGGTTCAACCCTCCCACGAACCATGACCTGGTGTACATCGAGCAAAGTCCAGACTACTGCTTGAAGAACCAAAGCACAGGCTCTTTGGGCACAGTGGGGCGGCTTTGCAACAAGACCTCAGAGGGCATGGATGGGTGTGAGCTGATGTGCTGCGGAAGAGGTTATGACCAGTACAAGGCCCAGATAGTGGAGCGGTGCCACTGCAAGTTCCACTGGTGCTGCTACGTCAAGTGCAAGCGCTGCACCAAAGTCGTAGACCAATTTGTCTGCAAGTGAGAAGAAGAGTGTTGCCTGTGTGTATTTGCTTGCAGATAATGGGCATAAATCTGTGTGTATTCATGAGCAGAGGAGCTGAACACAGAGAATGGAAGAAAGAAACTATATAAATTATATTTATAGAGTTAAACAATTATGCCATTGCAAAAAGACTTAAAAAATCATGTCCTCAGAAACTGAGAGTATTGTGAAATATTTATTTTCAGATTGTAATGTTTTATTTTGGCCCGCTCATCAGCAGAAAACTTAAATCTTTCAAGTGCCTAAATCTGGCTGGAAATTTTATACCACGGTTCCTTTTAACTGTTTTTTTTTTTTTTTTTTTTTTGTTTGTTTGTTTTTTTTTTTGGGGGGGGGGGGGGTGTTGTTTTTTTTTTATTTTTTTTAAACCACAGAAAAGGCCATTTTTCTTGACTCCGTAGAGGAAATGGGTCACAACGTTTTAAATTGGACTGTGCCTTTTATAGATGACTAAGGTTTAATTTTTGTGGCATAATTGACAAAAGGTCCTATTTTGTTGTTTGGAGAGAGACTATAAAGAGGAGAGCGTGTGCTGTAGTCTATGGATGTGTTTTTCAAGGGCCTGTTCCCAGACCAGCCTTCACATCGTTGCTGAAGTCTGCTTGTCCCCCTTCACACGTACAGTAAGGAACACTGTCGGTTTGTACGAGTCCTTGGAGTACAATGGGCACAAGAAGAGGGCTATTTCGGGGATCGGGCCATTTTGACTAAGCTGTCCCTGATGCCTTAGAGTTCCCCAGGTGCTGCAACAAGCCCTCCATCATTATGCACTTTGATACAGAGGCTTAAACATGTCTGTACGTGTCTGTTCAGCTGTTATCGTTATATCAATATTATAGCCTTCAATGTTTCCATATTACTTCAAATTATCCATTTAACATTATTCTACAATACTTAACACGGTTTGAATATATATGGGCAATGTTGTGGTTACAGTGGAGAAATATTCCACACTGTGTATATAGTACGTCTATCCAACAAACCAATCAGTAAACTGTATTTATTTTCCTAAAACAGATCCTCGTTTTAGCTTTCAGCAGAAAAGCATCATCTTCATAACAGACCAGTAATGAGGCAGGCATCCCAAAGTTCACTTTTTAAACTAATTCTCACTAATGCGGCTCCTCACTGTTTTTGCAAAAGGGAAATGCACCTTATCGTCGTGGAACCAAGTCATGCTCGTGCTTGGCTTTACTCTTACACACATTCACAGGTGTTCAGGTTACGATGCTGCCACAGGTTTCCAGTACCACTCACTTACCTTCTCACTGTCCCTGTGATGATTCTCGCTAGACAAACTATTTCTACCAATCCAACTATGTATATTTATAAGCTTGAGGTTTGTTAAACTTAATGTGCTATAGCAAATATTTTGTTATTTTTTACAAATTGGCTCAATGCTCTACTTTGTTTCAATAAATACCGAGTGTAAAACCAACGAGGAAGTATTTTACTCAGTCTTTAATCATGTTGTCTGTGCCTCCTTGAGTTTTTTCTTCCTTCAAATAAAGATTCTCCGTCTTGCAAATACAGGGTGGGCCATTTATATGGATACAGCATAATAACATGGGAATGGTTGGTGATGTTAAAGTCCTGTTTGTGGCACGGTGTATCCATATAAATGGCCCACCCTGTACATTACTAAATGCACATGCCAAGAACGTATTGACACACCCACTGGACACTTAAAGTACATCTTTATATCTGGGTTGGACACCTTTTGCCTTCAGAACTACCTCATTTTTGCACCAGTTAACAAAGTGTTGGGAACCTTCCTCAGACTCATTGCCTTTTTGTTTTTAGAAATCAGTTTGCAATAGTTTGAGCTTTGTTATCCTGCTGGGAGCAACTTTCAGAAGATGGACACGATGTATTTGTAAAGGGATGGAGATGGTCAGCAACAATACTCAGGTAGGCTGTGACATTTAAACTCTAGTTGGTACTAGTGGGCCCAAAGTACTAGGACACACCATTACACCATGACCAGCAGCTGATCCACTCATTCATGTAGTAACATCAGATTCTCAACCTACCCTATGAATGATGCAGCATTTGAATCTTTTATTGTCCAATTCTGGTGAGCCCGTGTGAACTGTACTCACTTTCTTGTTCTCAGATGACCGACGTGACGCCTGGTGTGGTCTTCTGCTACTGTAGTTCATCTGCTTCAAGGTCTTACTGCATGAGTCATCTGGCCATGCTCCTCTGGCATTTTCACCCAGAGAACTGCTGCTCCCTGGTCTTTTTCGGACCAGTCTCTGTAAGTTCTCTGTAGATGGTTCTGTGGGAAAATCCCAGCAGATCAGCAGTTTCTGAAATACTCACACCAGCCCAACAACCACGCCACATTCAAAGTCACTTCTTTCTGATGCCCACTTTGAACTTCAGCAGAGCTATCTGTGGCTGCATGCTTAAATGCATTAACTAGCTTCCATGTGATTAGCTGATTAGATATTTGCATAACGAGCAGCTGAACAGGTGTATTTAACAAAGGAGCTGGTGAATGTGCCTTTGGTGAAACGATGTCTTTTAAACCGTCCAGGTTCAAGTTGTTGTTGTGTTTTTCTTTTGAAACATTAACTTCCTGCTATTCGCTCTTCTCACCCACGGGCAGATTTCATGACAATCAAACCCACATTGGATGACAGCTGTTTCAGGCATGTGGTGCACAAAAGCATTTTGTTTGAGAGGTCTGGAAGATGGCCTGAAGATTAGGTGTCTCCCTGGAGGATGGTTGAGGTTGTATTATAAGTATTCCTCAACAATCCAGTGACAGTGGATCAGTTAATGGAATGATTAATCACATTTTGTCAGGAGAATAAGACGAGGGGGATTTCAATGTGGGGAAATTGGGATGTCTGGAATAAGACTGGGTCTTGTCAGAGACTACTGGTGCTCAAAAGCAGACGCGGAAAACAGGAGAGAAGATTGGGTAATGAGAAATGGGGGATTACATGAGCATCGAACAAGAGGGGAGTAATAGGAAGAAGGTTGTGAGAAGAGAGGCTCAAGGGAGAGGAGGAGAGAAAAAGTGCTTCAAGTAAAGTAGAGCTGAAGGACTACCATTACTGTGTAAACGCTCCTGACATTGACTAATATTTACACTTGTAAAATGATACAGAGTTTAGGAGCACATCCCATATGTGACCTTGTCAGTTAGCCCGGTGTGTATGCCTGCACAGTTGCATGTGCACCCATCTGAGCAAACACTGCTAAATCATGAAAAGTGCTCACATTGAGTTCACGATGGGTGTCACACAGGTCAAAGGCAAGAGGGAAAGATAGAAGGTCAGCGTTTGAAGAGCGAGACTGTAAAATCTAAAAGAAAAAAAAGGCTCCAAGGAAATCAAGCCAAGCAGGGAGGTTTTACATTTTTGAAACGTCTGTCAACAGATGGTTTACAAGGCTATGAAATCACCCTTCAACTCTGGGTTTCATATGTACATGAAGGCCAGGTCATCCTGGACGAGGTTTCTGCAGCATGAGTGGCTGACGTCATACCAGCAGGACTCTTCTAGCTGGAGTGTAAACAGAAATCCAGGTGTGCAGCTGCCTGCGCAGGTACAACTTAACAGATACGCTCAGACGAAGAGGAGCAGATCTTCCAAGTGTTCAAACATTTGATTCGTCTGATTTTGGCAGCCCTCTCTCAACCTGCCCCCTTTTCTGGTAGAATGACAGTTAATGCGGGTGACTACATAAATATTTACATATCAGTTCAATGCAGAACAACACAGTCACCCCCCTCCCCCTCAGTTGTGGTCACAGGGTGATAAGGTGCGATTTGGGTTTTGCACACACAATTAAGCACTCATTGCAGGAGCTCTTTGTAGCTTCACATGGCATATTTAGATGATCCAAACCCTCACAATAGCGTGTCTTAAGTATATCTCACATTGCTCTCATATTTTCCTCCCTTTAATCTTGCAAAAAATAAACAAACATGTTTACAGATTTTTCCCTCAAAAGAAACATTGACGGTTTCATATTTTAGAAATGTTGAAATGCGCGCATAACTCAAGCATTTATCGTGCGTTTAATGCTCGGTTGCAGTTGCGTGCATGCGTGTGTGTTTTTGTATTCATGCAAAGGTGATAATTACGATGATGAATAGACCAGGCTGGATAAAAACTGAGGTTCTCCAGCTCATCGAGTGGTTTTACTCGTTTCTTCTTCCGCTGCATTAAAATTCCACGGAGGTTCTTCACGACGATTACATGACAAGTTGTGTTTTCTTAAAACAAAGCAGCTGGTTGATATAAGACAAACTCCCCCGTGCTGAAGCCAGATCTGCTGACCGCATCTTTGTGCATTCATAGACTACTTTGTTGATTCTGTTCCTGCAGTGGAAAAGGCTGAACAAATGTTCTTCTATGACTGCAATATACCAGGCTACGCATATTGATGTAATATATTTACACCACATTTTACCATCTGTGAAACAAAACCTCAGTTTCAGCTCTGGTCTCACCCCCCCACAAACCCCCTTTTGTCACCATGCTGCACCATAGCCGGGTGAATCAGGTAGTGGGCTACGTATTAACCTCTATTCATGTGACAACATCAAATCGTGGCTCACATCAAACTGTCACTGCAGAAAAAACTTAGAGATGCACAAAAAAATTCTCATTACTACAAGCCTCAAAAAAAAAAAAAAACCTGCTGTCAGCGCAAACATCTGGCAAAGCTCATCTCTCCAAAGAAAGTGAAGCTTGTTCCATTTCCCGGTTTTTGGTGTAAAACAACAACCAGGCCGAAATAAGAGCACTCCGCAGAGCTACATTTAGAGCTATTTGAGATTGTGGTTGTGTGTTTTAGAGAAAGAGGGCAGGGCACCACACTGTGACGTCGCAAACAGTCTGGACTGGATCAGAGAGGCGAGTCGGCTCCACAGCAGCGGCTCTCCCTTCCCTCGCTGCCAGTTCTATCCTAGTGTCCCCCCCAAGAAACCACTCGCACCGCAAGTTGTTTCAATGGGGCAGAACTGGCTGAAAATAGGAAGGTTATACATAGAGGTCACAATTTGTCAATGTCCACGGCCGAGGTTTCTGTGTGTATATGCGACTGCGAGAGAGAAAGGGGGAGATAATGAGTTATTATTAGCTCGATATCAATTTTCTCCCTCTAATAACCTTAATGTCAGAGCTGAGTTCGTCTCATTGGGTCGATGTGCGATATTCACCACTGTTATAGCTCATACAGTTGCAAAGCAGAATTAATAGAGGACATCCCAGCAGGTAATTATAATTGGAAAGGTAAACACAGCAGACTAGCTGCTTGTGTGTGTGTGTGTGTGTGTGTGTGTGTGTGTGTGTGT